AGCAGCCCACCAGCCCCCCCAACACTCACCTAAACCCCTTCTCGATCCAGCAATGTGCACTCAAATCTTGGCTATCCCAGGACTCCCTCTCCTCATTGGTTGAGACAATCACAGCCAGTGAGCCAATAACAAGAGAGAGGGGGCAGGACAGAGCAGCAGGTGCCCCCATAGCAAGCTGCGAGAAGAGGAGGATCCGGGCTGCTCTCTGCATAATCACAGTATACAGCAGATACGTATAGACATGTTTGTTATTTTTAGAAAAAAAAGTAAGTCTTTAGTATCACTTTAAGAGGGTTCAGTGCTATGTTCAGGATTTGTGGACTCCCAGCTTGGTTCACTGAACCTCCAGCTAACCAAAGTTCGCTTGATTTACATCTATACTTATGACTATATTTTAAAAAAATTATCACATGATGAGATGGAATAAACAGTGAATCAGACAAGAAAAACAATTCTGTAAACAGTTACCATGTTGTTTTGAATGTTTTGTAGAATACAACTGGACCAATTTCCACTGCCCTAAAGTGTATTTTGAACTTTAGTGCAGTTTTTCATGAAGATCTGCAGACCTAAAAATTTGATTCGGGATAAGATTGGTGGTTAGGCTGAGTTCCACTGATTCCCACAGAGTGGATAATCAGTCATATGGTGGTATATTGCCTTTTTCATTTAGGTGAATGTGTACAATCTAACACTGCATTCACAATGTCAATTTTAGTAAAGAGAAAAAAAAGTATTTGTGTCAGAAAAAATTTGATCTATTTTGTGTATACACACCTGAATGGTCCCTTTAAAAGTCCCATACATATATATGAACATTTTTACACAAATGTTCAGAATAAAATATTATTTATTTTCTTCCCAACTTTTAAGGAAATTAGGCTTATCTAAGCACTGTGGCTATTGAAGTGCAACTCTAGTTTTGTTGAGAAAAAATTACAATCCCCTCTGGGTAAACTATATACAATGCAAGGATTTTAGCAAACTTTGCAGGTTCATACCTTTCCTTGCTCTGTTTGTTTCACCAAGTCAAGAAACTGTGATGCTTCGTAGGATATACATCTTTGTTATGTGCTCTTTTTTCTATCCAAATATGAGATGCAAGTGTATTCTCATGTTTTAAGATTTCTTTTCCAAAGGAGTGAGATATGTTTATTTACATAGATAATTGATGTAAAGTCTCAAGAGTGTTTCTGGCAGTAAATAATAAAAATAAGTAAATCATAGTCTTAGTTCTTATGACTGCATTGTTAGACTGATAAAAAAAATGCAGAGAAATGCTGGGTCCAATATATTGGATTTTATTCTAAGAACTGTGTTTCTAAACCATACTTGACAACTAATATAAAACCAGCCCTAAAAGACTGAATATGATCAATGACTATGAGGTCACAACTCTTGTTCTTAGTAAATATGTCCTGATATACCGCAAGTGGCCCATTATAGTTGGTTTGGACTGTTGTGTTATTGTAATGCCATGGAATCATAACTGGTTTAATCTCCCATGTGCAGATGTCAAAGTGTGTATTTCATAAGCAGACTTCAACACATTTTACAGGGAATGTTGCCAAAAGCATCTGCAAATGCAGCAACAATGCATGCAGGTCCCAGACTCTCTTAAATGATGGCAACATGAGATTAGCTTTGGGCAGCTATAAGACATAGTGCCATAGTGGGCTTACACCTGCATACTTTGGTTTTAGCAGCACAGAATGCTACAACTGTTTCTGCAGGTAATAGTCTTGGTACATTCTATACTTTGAGAACTAATTATATCCTTACAAGTATTTATTTATTTATTTCAGGTACTTATATATAGCACCATCAATTTACGCAGCGCTTTTTACATATATATTGTACATTCACATCCGTCCCTAACCCTCAAGGAGCGTACAATCTAAGGTATCAAGTATAACTGAACTGAATGCTTAGCACTAGATTTGGCCCATGGTCTTCAGTACAGACACGTGGCAGGTCTATGTAGCTATGCACCTGCTGAAATATTAGGGAATGGGCCAAACCTGGTTTTAAGAAATGCATCCTAAGGATGATTTAGTAATCTGATAGACAAAGAAAAAGCCTCCAAGGTTGAAAATGTTATTCAATATGCCAACTTCTGATTGACCACAATAGCTTCCAGCAACATATTTTCCAAATATAGGTTTCCTCTTATGAAATTGTAATGATAAGCAATGTAGAGCATTACTGATATATCTCCTAAAGAAAACAGAAGGGTTGTTCTGAAAAACAATAATTTAGCCCCCTTATGTCTTTGTACTTCACACTGCAGAAATATCACAATTTTACCAATAAAATGGATATTTATTTATTACGGGCATTTACCGTTGTGCTCAAAAGTTTGCATACCCTGGCAAAAATTGTGACATTTTAGCATTGATATTGAAAATATGACTGATCATGCCAAAAATGCTCTTTTATTGAAGGATGATGATCATATGAATTCATTTATTATCAAATAGTTGTTTGGCTCTTTTTAAAATCATAATGATAACAGAAATCACCCAAATGGCCATGATCAAAAGTTTACATACCCTGGAATGTTTGGCCTTGGTACAGACACACAAGGTGACACACAGGGGTTAAAATGCCAATTAGAGGTTAATGTCTCACATTTGTGGCTTTATAAATTGCAATTAGTGTCAGTGTATAAATAGTCAATGAGTTTGTTGGCTCTTACATGGAAGCAGTGACCAGGCTAGATACTGAGCCATGGGGATCAGAAAAGAACTGTCAAAAATCCTGTGTAACAAAGTAATGGAACTTTATAAAGACGGAAAAGGACATAACAAGATATATTACCAGTGCCTTTCAGGGAGCTCTCATAGGTAAACTGTGAAATCTGTGTAGAAAATGAAGAATGAATGGAATTTTCCCAGAGATTTTGGGAGATTTTATGATATCTTGCAAGATCTCAGGAAGAGGTCAATGCACTCTTTTTTTTAGATTTGTGAAAAGAGATTAAAACAATAGAGAACTGCCCAATTGTAGCTGCTAGTCATACCATGACTGCCAGGTAGCTAGCAGTTTCACAAGCAGGTCAGCAATAACAGTCTAAATATATTGTATATATATATATATATATATATATGTATATATATATATATATATATATATATATATATATATATATATATAAACAATACTTGGCTAGTCAGCCCAAATGATCACAACGTCACGTATTGTGGCATCTATATCCTCCAGAGGTCGATGCGGTTTGCTTATTAGCTTCTTCAGGACCCCAAAAAATTGGAGGCAGAGGAATCCGATGCCCTGAACTGGCAGATGTATATATATATATATATATATATATCTACAGTATAGATACAGTTGTGCCATAAAGTGTGCATACCCTTGGAGAATTTGGTGATATACAGTATCATTTCTAAAGAAAACATGAGTGAGCAGGCAAAACAAATTTCTTTTATCAACTGTAGGCAATAACAGTATGGAACAATCATAAAACAAAACATGACAACAAGTAAACAAATGAAATGACCCCTGTTCAAAAGTCTGCATGCCCTTAGTTCTTAATGCTGTCTATCGCACTCTTTAGCATCAATAACAGCGTGCAGTCTTTTGTAATAGTTATCTTTGAGGCCCAGAATTCCTGCAGGTGGTATAGCTGCCCATTTGTTTTAGCAAAATGCCTCCAGATCATGCACAGTCTTTGGTTGTCTTGCATGACGCGCATGTTTGCGATCACCCTAGAGTGACTCAAAGATATTAAGGTCAGGAGACTGTGATGACCACTAAGAACCTTCACCTTTTTCTGCTGTAACCACTGGAGGGTCAACTAGGCCTTGTGCTTAGAGTCATTGCCATGCTGGAAAGTCCAAGAGCGTCCTATGTGCAGTTTTTACGTAGAAGAATGCAAATTGTCTGCCAGTATTTTCTGATACCTTACGGCAATCATCTTGCCATCAATTTTTACAAGATACCCCATGCATTTTGAGCTCACACAACTTCAAAACATCAGTGAGCCACCACCATGATTCACAGTGAGCATGGTATTCTTGTTGCTATACACCTTGTTGACCCCTTTCCAAACATAGTGTTCATGGGTGTGACCATAAAGTTCTATTTTGGTCTCATCCCTCCAGATTGCAGTGTGCCAGAAGCTGTAAGGTGTGTCAAGGTGTTGTTGGGAATATTGTAACTGGGCTTTCTTCTGGTATTGGCAAAGTAAAGGCTTCCTTCTTTCAACTCAACCATGCAGCTCATTTTTGTTCAAGTATTGTCATATTGTGCCCCTTAAAACAACCACACCATTTTTTTCCAGAGCAGCCTGCTGAGGTTACCTGTGGTTTTTCCTTTGTATTCCAAACAATTCTTCTGGCAGTTGTGGATGAAATCTTTCTTGGTCTACCTGACCTTGGCTTGGAATCAAGAGATCCCAAAATTTTCCACTTCCTAATAAATGATTTAACAATACTGATGGGAAAATTCAAAGCTTTTGATATCTTTTTATATCCTTTTCCATCTTTATAAAGTTCCATTACCTTGTTACGCAGGTCTTTTTACAGGTCTTTTGTCTTTTCTGCTCCCCATGGTTCAGTATCTAACCTGCTCAGTGCATCCTAAAGAGAGCCAACAAACTCAGTGACTATTTATACACAGACACTAATTCAAATTTAAAATGCCACAGATGTGAGAAATTAGTCTTTAATTTCCATTGTAACCTGTGTGTGTCACCTTGTGTGTCTGTACCAAGGTCATTTGGGTGATTTCTGTTATCATTATGATATAAAAAGGAGCCAAACACCAAAGAATTATGAAATAATTAATGGCTTCATATGATCACTATCCTTAAGTAATATTTTAAAAATATGTTTTTTTTAGCATGATCAGTCATATTTTTGAGAGAAAGAGTAATTTATGTGTTTTGAATAAGTGTATTCTGTTCCAGAAACATTGGTTCCTTAAAATCAGCCCTGATGAATAAGACATTGCAATAATTTAAAATGCTTTGGCTATATATTCGTACAAGCAGGGACGGACTGACCATTTGGAAACTCGGGCACTGCCCGAAGGCCCGGGGTCAGTAGGGGGCCCCATGAGATGCCCCTGGTACCTTTTTCATAGGCTTTTTTGAGTTTGGGCAAGGACACAGGGGCCCTATGATCCCCTATTACCTGGGGGCCCCATGAGTTGTCAGTCCGCCCCTGTGTACAAGCAATAATTGTATCCATGATCTTGATTTATGTAGCTCTTTTGTCATTAAGAGCTTCCCCTCCAGTATTGAGTTGTATGATTGCTTCTTGTTTAGTTGACTCACTTATTGCATGGTTTACATATCAGTGTTCCTTCTGTACGTGTCAGGTGAGCTACCTGATTTCTTCAAACACCTGATGGTTTCCTGTTGCACTTAAAAATATATTTGCCTCTACAGGTATAAAGTGTAGGAAAGTAGAGGAGTAGAGGGGCCTACACATACCTTTACCAGCCCTTAAATCAGATAGAGAAGACTAGTATATAGTTTTATTAAATAGGTTTGCCTTCTTTTCCTCTTTCTCTAGCTTTTACTTTTAAAAAAAATATAGAGGTTAGATTTTAACATTCAGTTTGAATAGCAGCCTGCTGTGTTGTGTTCTCGATGTATAATATTAAGGCATTTCTTTTCCTCCTGCCTCATGGATCTCCTGAACCCCATGCCATAGACTGTTTGATGCTGTCAATAGATGCAGTGGATTTGTGTCTTTTCCTTTACAGCATCTGTAGTTGAAGACTTAAATGCCTGGCCACTAACATTTGATATTCAGTAGTGACCTGGTAAATTGCAGTATTATCACACTTCACCAATTGAAATGTAAAATCAAAACTGGGTCAAACCTGTTGTATTTTCTATAAAGTCTACATAAAATTGGACAACAATAAAAACTGATGCACGGCAGAAAATTCTAATGACTTTTGTTCCTTAGCAAAAGAGCAATGCAGGACAATGTAGGATAACACTGTGCTTCTCTATGCACAAAGGAAGGAGCTATAGCGCTACCCCAGTGGAAGCCACTGGATAGGATGGATCCTCTGTTTTTTGCTTAAACTTTCCGAAGAACCTCAGCCCCTCTGACATACCAGGTTGAGTGTACAAACATACAGTATCACAGTAATTCACTGAACGTAATGCTTGGTACCCAAGAAAGCAAGGCAACAAACCAGGTAGTAAAGATAAATATAATATATTGTCACCCAACATGGTTGGTAACTAGGCAAGCATAAAAAGGATTAACAATGGTAATAACACAATTTAGCATATATAGTGATTAGGGACTAGGCATAAGATGACATTGGGTGGCCAGAGCATAAACAGTAGCAAGGCCACCTCAAGTACAGCAGTGAACAGTAGTAAATTTGAATCTAATCTACTGAATGCTGAAACTATGCTTCCAGAGTGCGTTTATGGCAGCAATGCTAGTCCTAAGAACAATTGGATATGCACTGTCCAAAATAAAAGGAGGATGGTAGGGGAGGGGGCAGGAGAACAAAGGGGTCTTGCAGAATTATTATCACGGGAAGGAAGTCCTTTGAGATGTTCCTCTGGCAGCTATTGTAAAGACTTCAGTCTTTAGCTACCCGCTTCGACTATGCCAGTCTGTAGCTCACCCACATTTGGGTGCTGCTATTGAATCAGGTTCTTAGGTTCTGGGGGAACCAAGTATCATCAACATACATAAGATACAGCACATACACCACCATATAATGTGTCATTGACCAGTGGCTGCAATGGCTAAAAAGTGTTGCACCCATGATCATTAGGTGTCAGCAGAAGCCAAAACCTTCTACAGATATTGTTTTTGAATAACCACCTTAATTTTTAATTGTGTAACTCACATAAGAAAAAACAGAACCTAATTAAAGCAGAGTTCCACTCGACCTATCAAACAATAACAGTCAGCAGCTACAAAAACTGTAGCTGCTGACTTTTAAAAAACAGCCACCTACCTTACCCTCTGTCCCGTGGTGTGTCCCCCGCAGCTCATTTCACCGGCCGTCCTGTATTCCAGGAGGCTGGCATCTTCACTGTTGGCACCCGGCTGTGATAGCTTGCGGCTTCACAGTCGGATACCCACTGCGCATGCGTTTGTAGTGCTGCGCTTCGTGAATGGTCCTGTAGTCTTCTGGGACCTGTCATGTGTCCCAAAAGACTACAGGGAGTGAGGCAGGGAGGGAGGACACCTTCAGTTTCTGATCGCCTAGGCAATCGGACCGGAAGTGGGAGCGGGCACCTGTCAAATTCGGGTACCTGCTCCCCCCCTGCTCCCCAAAGGTGCCAATCCTTAATGGGGAGCAGGGGAGCAGTCCTTAATGCGGAACTTCCCCTTTGGGGTGGAGCTCCGCTTTAATGATTATACTATAGTACACTATAGCAGAATGTTCATCATTAGAAATTTGATGATAAATAATAAAAATTTACCACTTGATTTTCTTTGAACACATAATTCCACAATCTCTCCCTCTTTCACTTTTTTGAACATATATTCCATTTGTGATACCTCCTACCCTGCTTAACCCACTAGACAGTGGTATTTGCATCAATCCCTGCTGCACCCCCAAAACAGTTGTTGAAATGATACCTCCTGCATTTGTTCTGTCATTTTTAATTTCCTCTGGCTTGCATCTACTACTAAAGAAATATATAACCCTAAACCAAGGATGAATCATTAGATGTGGTGGCTGCATTCATTTTCTTTTTCAGGCTTTTTCACCTCTGCTTCCACCTGGGTATCTGGCCAGTAACATACCTCCTGTATTAGAGTGCTTACACTCTGGATAAAGGAGCAACAGAGACACTTTTTGACAGCAGCCTTGTTAATATGGGGGAGTGGAGTGTTAGATAATATAAGGGCGGGTGGGTGACACCCTCTCCATGTTTCCCTCCTCATTGGGCACCAAGTGTGGGTCAAATGAGAGACCTACACAAGAGTGGTTTGTTCTGGGCTATGTTAGGCACCTTAAATAGGGTCACTGTCTTACACATGGGGAAGCTTTACTTGTGCTGTGCACCATGTATACTTGAACAATAAACTGAACTCCAGTTAACTCTCTTGTTCCCGTGTCAATGTACACCTTCACTGTCACAGCTGCATTTACTGTAGGAGGGACAAGCAGAGCCTATTCCCTCTCCACTGTCCAGCATTTCTCCGCTACTTCACTCCAAGTAATGGAATGGAATCCCACCGTGCACCTAGCAGTGCATACTAGCACACTATAGCTTAAACCTGCAGAGGGGACTGTTTTTTTTAACTTTACTACTGATTTAATTTTGGTGATTGCCATTTTGAGAGCAAAGTTTGCTGGTGGGCCACCCTGTATATTGTTTTATCTTGAGGGTTGTGGAATTTATGGGTTGCAAGGAACCTCCTTTGCTGCTATATTGTGAGAATCATCCACTTTTTGACAATACCAAAAATAGATCAGGCTATGCACCATGTTTTGACTCCCTGATGTAGATTCTGAATGAACTGAAACACATTGGGGCTTTATAATATTATATTTGTAGCACTTTCTGGCCTCTATGTTAAGCGTGGTGTTGATATTCTACTGAAATTGGTGTCAACCAATGGTGGTCTTTTATGTGGTGCACATCAGTATTTTAATAAAAAATTGTTAAGATTGTATTTAATTTCATTGTCATGGGCCATTAAAATCCCAGCCAGTTCATATATAATTCAATTTCCAAGTTTGTAGGGGATGGGGTACTTTTCATCAACAAGATTAGGCTATTATTCTTAGTTTCAGTGTATGGCGAGATCATTTTTATACAATCAGTAGGACACCCCAACATTTTATTGAATTAAATGTAGCCATTCATAAACATATACATTTGAAATAAGTTTTACCTAAATAATAAAGGATACAATTTAAAAAGGGGAAATTGTGTAACACATTTTCTATTGAATTAACTTTTAATTTGGTTTAGTGTGCAGTTTTAGAATGTATACCAAACAGTTTCCATTTTTTTAATCACCTAATTTAAGTTGTGTTTGAAAAGAGGTTTAGTAATTGATTACTGCAGCAGCCATTAATAGACTGAAATCTATGTTCTCTCTCTATCACAGAGAGGAGCAGAGGGGAGATTTCTGTTGTTCTGTCTTAGGGTGGCAACAAAGATTCTCCATAGTACTGTAAGTGAGCATTGACACCATAGCACAGGGAGTATAGTACCAGCAAAATCACCAAGCAAATAGATGAATGAAAGCTATAAAAAAGAAAACTAAATCAGCAATCACATCAAAAGGACAGGAAAGCTGCAATATATTACAATTTTGTTTTTGACCATAGATGCACTCTACAGATTTTAAATTATTTGCATACATTGGCTCTCCTATAGAAATGCCTAATGTCCCTTCTTTCTGCTTTTTCTTATTTTCTAATTCTTAGTCTGTATTAGAAATAAAGTTCTAGGAATGCACCCTGTTCCACATCTTAGACATTCAGACCAATTTGTACAATAAATGTAACATTAAACAAATGGCTGTATTTCTTCTCCACATTAAACACAGCATGTAATGAAATTACCAATGGCCCTGGCAGAGACAGGTTGCATAACATTCTTTGTATTTTGGATTAAGCTATAAGCAATCAGCATTCATTGTTTTAAACTGGGCCACGCTCCTGTTTGAAAATCTCATTATGATTTATCACACTTCAAACATAAGAGGCTTGTTTCTTGCTTTGAGTTTCCTGCTCCTTGGAGCTTGTCTCCCACAAGACACCTCACTAGGTTTGTAATGTGACCAACAGGACATCCAAAATTTAAAAAGCATGACTAAGAAAAGAGCAAAATAAAAAGGCAATATTAACTAGACGGAAATCACTGGAGAAAGGCAAATGCTGGATTCCAAAACTTGTAAAACATACATGATTAAGTAAAGATTTAGAAAACTTTCTGTGGGAATTTTTTCAGTATGACACTCAATAATACGATAAAATGCAGTTTTCCCTATGATGTGCTCGAGGAGTAAAGAAACAGGGGAGGCTCCTATAGGACAGTCCAAGCAAGTCGCAAATCCAGTTACTACATTATGTACAAGCCTCACAAAGTAAAATGAAACACTTCCTTTACTTTCTTTAACGGAACCAAATCATCCTTCATTTTGGTCTCGGTCAAAAACATGCCAAATATTAGACTTAGTGTTTCCATGTATGCGGGCATAGAAGCCTAACTAGACATGCAACTTCATCACGGCTGGTGCACAAGTGTTTGAGCATGTTCATTGCTAAATG